CCCCAAAACCCCAAAACCCCAAAACCCCTCAAATCTTAAATAATTGAATCATTAACCCAAAATGTTATTTTTAGCACTCAAAGACCTCGTAAATGGCCTCAGAGGCAAGAATTATGTAGACCAAGAAGACTCAGAAGAATTCAAAGCTGCTGCTGGTATGCTTTTTGGATAATTTAATAGAGAAAAGAGTTGCAACGCTAAATGACCAGTTCAAAGATCTCGACCAAGAACTCCAAAATGTCGATGAAGGTGACCCTTCAGCATTGGAAGAGCTTTTCACTCACTGTGCAGCCTCAGTCCAAAACTTGACTCTTGAAGGAAAGCTCAAACAGGAAGACCTGCTTGAACTGTACGGATTCTTTAAGCAAGCTATGATTGGAGATGCTACAGATAAGTATGCTCCTTCCTTGCTGGATTTGAAGGGAAAAGCTAAATTTAATGTTTGGAGAAGTAACTTCCCCTCTAACTTTTAGCCAACCTCGGAATTACCCAAGAAGATGCTAAGAAATATTACATCCTGAAGTATGCTTCGCTAAACAAAGAGGCTGAAGAGAACGTTATGCAGGTAAATCTCCCTGAATCCAACTCTTTAGGTACTAAATGGTGAAATAGACGCTCAAGAGGTAGACAACCCTGCAATGAGGTCTATCAGCCGTCCTGAAATCGACCAAAAAGAGGTCCAAAATTATATCGGTAACTCTTAATTTTGATCCAATCTAGGCGCACTTGATGAAGACAAAACGAGAATCTTCAAATTATACGAAGAAATCAGAGCCAATGGCGAAGAAGAACTGTACATGGTCATCGAAAGAAAGGAGATTAGCGCAGAAACTACTAATAAGGAAGGAATGACTCCTTTCATGCTAGCTGTAGATGAGGCCTTTTCTGTCGAAATTCTCCAAACTCTTCTCGATTTTGGGGCTGACATCAACCACAGAGATAATGATGGCTCTACTGCTCTCCATTACGCTTGAACAGTAAGTTACTTTACTCATATCCTAGCTTGAGGAAGAAGAGATCATCAAATTCCTTCTTGAAAAGGGAGCTGATCAAAGCATTGAGAATAATGAAGGAGAAAAGCCCATTGAAATTTTACAGGATGAGGAGTTCCACAAATATTTCGAAAAACAGGAGTCATAGATATTTTCAATGCTAATTTTTGCACAAGGGGTTTTGGGGTTTTGGGGTTTTGGGGTTTTGGGGTTTTGGGG